CGTTCACAGAGCTGGTCACTTCTGGAAGCTTCCTAAGTATAATGCTATTGCCACACATTGATATATTGACCACAGAAAGGCAAATACAACAATGCCAAAGCTTACACTCATTTGAATAAACTGTGAATTTCTATTACATATATTGTTTCCTTTATCAAACTGAAACTACTGGAGCAAGAATACCAAGAATGCCAACATAAATCTAGATCTGTTACAGCCAGTTTCTCCAATTTATTCTCAGAAGCCCTAATGACAAAAAGTTAAAAGTTCTTCTGTTCCAGAGAGTTTCAGGAAAGTAACAGTCTCAGTAACTTCTAATACATTAAAAGGAAATAAATCTGGTTTAATAAAACGATGGAAGAAAATCACGAACTACTGCTCTATTCCCAAGGAAGCACAAGCATGTTTTGATAAACATCAAAGATAAAAGGCAATGCAAACTGTGTGCAGCCTACTTGGGGAAGAATTGCCATTATTCATGGCAGAGGACTTGGTGTGGTCTTTTCCAGAATTCAAAACCAATTCCACAAAGACACATCCCAGCCTCTTCTGCTGTTTGCGTTCCACAGGTTCTGCTCCAAGATAATGGGTAGCAGACTATTCAGATCAGAAACTAATGGTGACTGGCAACCTCTCTAACACAGCCGGCACTAAATGGTAAAAAGAGAAAAATAATTAACTAATATTCCTATTTTGCACAAAAGACGTTGACTCAAACCACAGTGAAATCTAAAAGAACCAGTGTTTTCTGTTGTTGTTTTTCGTTTGAAGAAATCCTTACTTCAGCCTGCAATCAATTTGGACACAACCATATTCTATTTATAGTAACACTTTTAACATGTTTTAGTCTTATATTATTTATTTGGATCATTCCTATTACAATGAAATATTAATGCTGAGAAAGTGGTTACTCTATTAAGGAGCCATCCTATGTTTAGATTTTAATATTGATCTACACTATTTGGGCACAATTAATCATTCCATATGAAACTGAGTTTGTGCGACTTTGTGTTAGAACACAATCAGAAGTTTAGAATCTTCCCCACTATAATGTCATGATTAAATTTATATTTTGACCTATTCCTAAAGGCAATTTAGTTATTCTAACAGAAGGGGGAAAAGGGGATACCGCCACTTTAAAAGCTTCAATCTCTTTGACATTGCTGGCAGTGTATGGGAACATTAATGCATCTGTCATGATAACAAGCTAAGAATAACATCTAGACATCAAACCGAGCAGAGAATCCATCTGAAGTGATTCATTCAGATCTGTCTCATTGATTTATTAAACACAGGGCAACATCTGCAGCCTCACAGAGCCGCTTGGCAAAATTAATGCAAGATCAATTCAAATGGAAAAAAGTGCAAAAGAGATAAATCAAAACACAATTTGCATGCAGCTCCACAATCAGGCTTATTGGGTGCAAATGCTCAATTTCCCTCCCAAAGCAAATGAGTTTAAATGTTGTTTTATCTTGGTAGAATTGTGTGATTTGAAGTGACAGTGAAGAGTTCTGCAGGTTGAAATGGTGAAAAGAAAAAGAGGAGAAGAAATGCATATTCAAAAGGTCTTTGCAAGCAACAAGAATATCATTAATACCTAATTGTTTAGCTTTTTTGTCTTTGCTACAAAAAAACAGCATTTTTCAGTTGTGGAAGTCTCAGTAGAAAATTACATATGTATTATGCATATACACATGCAGGAAACATATAAATACTCTATTCTGGAGAAAAAGCATGTTACACTTCAAATGGAAAGCTCTACAGCTATGAAAAGAGAGGGGAATTTTAATCAAGGCTTCTCTAGAGTAGATACTCTTCTGTTTAAGCATTTTGGTACTTCCAAGCAAGCACAGACTTGCAGCGTGTCCAAAAAGAACCAGGGATTTTTTCCAGAAGCATAATCAATTTGCTCAGAAAGTGGAAAAATTCACTTCTGCATCTGTAACAAAACCCACGATGCTGGTGATAAGTCTCGAGAGAACGCTTTAAGAAAACCTCTCCTACAATGAAAAAAAGAGAGCAGAAATGAATCGTTTCTGATTTCAGTATGTCACCAGTCCGAAAATCCACTAGTTTGGTTGAGTCTGAATGCACACTAAATATTTACTTAAGCAAAGAAGTTTATGTAATCAGATGTCCGCATTTAAAATCAATAGACACAGAAGCTCTGTGCAATGCTTCTTGACGAGATCGCATTAATTATAATCCTGACATCGTTCTGCTAATAAAAGACAGAGTACTGCTGACTCGAGGGGAGCTTTTAATAGACGACACAACCAGACTCATTTTCTCATAAAATACCTGTATTGCTGCTTAAATTAATTTTTAAGGGCTTTCATTGTCTGTGAATAGACAAAGTAACACAAACCATTAGCTGAACTGGACTCTGAATCATAAAAAAAAAAAGTTGTACTAGAATGCTTCCCAAAAAGCAGTATTTTATCTCACACACTGCTCTTCTTACTACACAATGAAAGCAGCAGACCAATACTGTCCTTTTTCTGTAGGAAACAGTCATTAAATATGAAAACCCTGAAAGAAACGTCACGGTTACATTCATGTTATATTGATACTTATGGACTGATGTATGGACATCATGGAAGCGTCCTCTACACAGTTGTAAATTTTGTGATGAAACCACAGTATAGTTTTCTACTTTACATAAACCTTATTCTTTGCTGCTAAAATTAAGCCTTTGCTCCTTCATTTCAGTAATCTTTGAAGATATTCTGAGCAAGTTAATGAATTTCACAATGATGCTGTATTCACCACATAGTTGAAGATGCTACTTGCAGTGAAAGGAATGGTTTCATTTTACAAACCTTGCTCCCAAATTCAGTTACAAAACACTTCTTAATGGCAATCAAAGATGAGCACATTTTGGTTACACAGCTGAAATTAACATGCATACTTCTTTAAAAAAATGCAAAGGTCAAAGATGTTTGTGTTCCAAGTACGTAAAACTCCTTCCATACATCCAACACACAAAAACTTATGGCTTAAACATACACTTCCCTCAGGCAAGCTCAAGTTAGAAAAAGGAACGGAATAGATTAAGCAGAATGCCTATTATTCCACTTATTTATTAATTGTTTGCATTACAACTAAAAGTTGATTAAAGCACATAGTATTGTAAGAAATGTTAATTTCTGGTAGACAGCTAACTTAAAAGACAACGGCAACCAATGTTTCTCATTACTTTTTCAGACAGTTTTAAAGTTCATGTTCTAGTGTTCAAACTACATATAAATTTCTATGAATTAAAAAAGCAGATACTACAAAAGCAATGACAAATATTCTCATTTGGAAGCAACTCCTGAGTCATGTGGAAAAACAATACATATCTAAGGGTTTTTTTCCCTAAAGGATGACATTTTTGCAAGACTGGAGCTCCCAGATCCAGAATTCAAGCACTGCACACACAGCTGCCCACAGCCCTAGCCCATGTGTTAGTTTGGTACCAGGCACTGCAGTGATGCCCCACTCAGCTCACAGCAAATGAGAAATCAGATCACACATATTCAGCTATTGGCATCCAGCTTTCTCTATCACGAAATCTGTGCTGTTGAGGAAAAAGCTCTGTAAATACAGTGACAAGCTAGGCATTCAATTAGCGTGACAGAACACCATTAACGTCGTTAAGTTACAATACTTGAGAAAAGTTTCCTACGCGCTGATAACGTTTATCACGCACTGCATCTGAAAGTGTGAACGCAGCAACACCTTGCTATCCGTACGTCAAACCAGCGGTGTTCTTTAGCGATATATAAGCAAAGGCCGAGAGATGTTTTAAAAAGCGAGGAGGCAACGAAGAGGGATCAGCTGCTCCTGAGGAGGTAGAAACAGAGAAAGCCCGAAGCGGCCCCGGCCCCGCACGAGGCTGCACGGCCGCCCGCGCATCCCACACCCCCAATCCCCCGCCCGGCCCCGCTCCGCCTTTCCCTGCCGCCGCCACAGGTCGCGACCAAAAGAAAGGTAAAGTCGCGAACCAACGCTTTTCAAGCATCCCGCGCTTCAGCGTTTCTTCATCCCCAATCACGGGCTGTAAGGGAGCAGACACCGGCACGTATCTAAGGGATCGCCAAGCGGGACCACGCATTCTTCTGACGAAAACTTTGGCAGGGTCACTGAAAAGAAACGGCGTGTTTCTTCAGCTGCCAGCTTCCACGCCAGCCGAGTTTCGGAGCCGCCTCCGCATAGAGCGGCCCTAAGGAGCACCGCCCGCAGCGCCGTCCCGAGCAGCCGCTGGGTTCGCGAGGACAGCAAAGCCAAGGGGCCGTAAGAGCCACAAGAGCCACAAGGGTCACGGGAAGGCAGCCGTGATGTCAGCGCGGCGCTCGGTCCCCGCGGGCACTACGCGCACAGCGGCGCGGCGCCAGGCATCCAGCACGAGCAGCGCCGACGGACCGACTGCGAGCGTCTCCTGAGCTCGACAGAACTTGCAACAACAGACAGCCTGGCGCGGCGGTCCGTCCTGCTTCGGCCCGCGGAGGAAAAAAAGCGGGTCGGGCCGCAACCGGCGCGAACTTCACACGGCAGCCGCAGTCCGCAGACACGGCGACGCGTGTGTTAACGAGCGCAGAAAAGAAGTTGCTTAAGAGCTGCGCCCCGCGAGAGTGCCGAGAGCCACGGAGCTCGGGGCACCTCCGGCACACGGAGCAGCCGGCGCTCCCACGCGGCCCCGCCGGGCTCCGGAGAGCGGTGATGGCGGGGCTCTCGGAGCAACAGTTTGAGTCCGGGCCGCCCCGGACACGGCGCGCCGCCGCCCCTCAGCTGCGCCGCGAGCCGAAACTTTCAGCGACGCGAGGAATGGAGGAAACTCGGAACTAAAGGGAAGAGACAGCAAAGCGGGCGCGGAAAGCGCCGGCCGCCCATCTGCGGGAGAGAGGAGTTGGAAGGCGGCCGCACCGCCCCTCCGGCCGCTCCGCCGCGCTCCCCCCACCCGCCCCGCGCGGACCCCTCAGCCCTCGGGCGGAGCAGAGCTGCACGGCGCTCACCTGGCGTTGGTGCAGTCGTTGTACAAAGTTTCGAAGTCCTTTCTGGTGATGAGCTTGCAGCGGTTGACGCCGGGCTGGATGGCTCCCAGCCCACGCAGGATGCGGACCTGCTCCACCGTGCAGACCACGGGCGATATATCCAGCCGCTTCAGCTTGGTGTACACCGTGTGCAGCCCTCCCACCAGGTGCTTGAGGAAGAGGTCGAAGACCTGCGGCAGGCAGATCAGCTCCTGCCCCTCCACGAGGAACGAGGCCACCTTCACACCGTGCAGGTCGACCATCTTACACTCGTTGCCGCCGCCGCCGCCGCCCGCGCCGGACCCGCCGCCGCCCGCAGAGAGGAAACTGTTGACGAGACTGTTGGTGAGGCGCGGGGACTCCGCGGGGCTGGAGTACAGCGGGTCCGCCCGGAACAAGCCGGCCGAGCCCCCCGCGCCGCCGCCGCTGGAAGTTGCGGCGATGACGGGCGGCGCGGAGACAGCCATGGCCAGCCCGGCTCCCGCAGCCCCGCGCACTCTCACCGCGCTGTTTGCGGTACTACTAAAAACAGCGCCGCGCGCGCGCCCGCCCTCCCACACGCAGCGCCCGCCGCCAGCCGCGCTCCCAGACCCCTCCCCGGCGCCGCCGGGGGGAAGAGTGATGGCGCCCTCCAGCCAATGAACCCCGCCCGCCTTCGGGCCGAGCGCCGCCATTGGCGGCCGGGGGCGGGGGGCGGGGCGGGGCGGGGCAGCGCCAGCCGCAGCACCTGGGCCGCGGGGTGTGAGGCGCGGGGCGGCGCTGCCGGGGGGAGGCGGGGCGGTGGCGGGGCGAGGGGAGCCCGGGGGTTGCGTCCCGTCTGCTGGGCGTGCGTGTGTTCCTTCGCTAACAGCCGTAGCACAGAAAGTCTCGAGAAGTCTCACGTGTAACTTACTGAAGTTCCGACCATCCGGCGCAGCACCGTGTTTCAGGTGCAATCGTACGGGGCCGCTCCTCGCGCCTGAGGCAGCACGTGCGGCGCTCTGCCTGCGCAGCCACGGCCCGGAGCTGGGCGGGCCGCGCTGTGGCGGGAGTAGTGGCGGGAAAACCCAGCGAGCTTCGTGTGTCCCTGAGGAGTGCTGAGCGAGTGAGTGCACACGAACGATGGTCAGAAAAAATGCACGTGGAGGTGTTGAGTCTGGCGCACCCAGACACAGCCAACACAACTGACTGGATTGTTAATTTCCTTTGCTTTTCCAACTCTGGCTCTATTGGACTTCTTCTTCCAGCTCCGTCCCTTTCTTCCTCTGTATGAACATCCTTACTTCCTGTTCATTTGCACTTTATTTTCAGTCTTCTGTTACCTTCTTTCTTACTCTGCTAACTTCTCCCGTTCTTTTTTATTTTTGCTTCTCCAGCAGCACTCAGTAAGCAAAGCAAACAGAAGAGTACCAACAAAACGTGTAGGTCACAAAATCATAGAATCACACAATGGCCTGGGTTGAAAAGAACCATGATGACCATCTAGTTTCAAACCTCTGCCACAGGCAGGGTTGTCAGCCACCAGACCAGGCTGCCCAGAGCCACGTCCATCCTGGATGCTGTTTGCGTATTTCCGCTGCTTCCCTGGTTGCACTGCTCATATGAACCATCTTTTGTTAAGCTGGCCTAGCTAGCCACTTTTTCTATACAATCCAACATTTTTGTTTTATGAGAATTCCCATTTGAAATGAAGAGAGATGACTGTATGGTATTTAAGTTGGCATATTTGTTAATTAAAGTCCCCCTGGAGGAACCCCACTTTCTCTCAGTTACATCTTTTACAAAGAGTGGCCACCCATTTTAGGCTGCTCATGTAGCTGAGTGATTATCTTTCAATGAGAATAATCATCTTTCTAAGATGAGAGCCTTATGTTGGAAGCTCTCAGGCACAGGGGCTAAAAAGTTAGCAAAAAGTTTTGTGCATTTGAGCCCTGAACTTGTCTTGAGATTTTTATATGCTAGAATTGGTACAATATTAAGTAACCAATTTAAACTATAAACTTTTAGGGGTTAATTTACAGGACATAATTGCTATTAGGAGATTTAATAAATCAGATTGAAGAATTTCTCATTGGCTTTGCCCTCTTACAGACTTTTTTTTTTTACTTTGAGATTAATGGGACAATCAAATTCTACTGTGAGAATTCTTTTTCCTTTTTGACTTTAATGTCTTCCATAAGCTAAACATATTTCTAAGTAAGACTGAATTTTTGCAAGGCCAGAGGAAGCCTTGCGCATCAGCACCCCGCAAGTTGGACTGGCGTGAAGCAATATAAAATCATAAAGGCTGTAGTAAAAACAGTACCCTTGAGAGGTGACTATCCATGGAGAGCAGAACTGCTCTTAAACTAAGGAAATGCTCAAGGTTTGAGAATTAATACCAGGCAGCTGCCCACTTCAGCCATGCAGACAGAAATCAACAATATCGATGAATATTTTTATTTGCCTGTAATTTTATTACTGACAAGGCAAAGTTACCAAAGCCTTACAATCACACAGTAATATCTTGTCATTTATAAAGTATCCAGATGGTTTATTTGAATAGAGTCCAGCAGTATGCAATTTGAATGTAAGTCTCCCTATAGCTTAAACAAGCATTTTAGAACATTTTTTTGGAATTAAAGTTTCAATATTGTTAATTTTAGACTGGCATGCAAAATAGATTTTTTTTTTAACACTGTCAGTCATTGAGATATTACTGCATTATATATCAGTGACATGCAAAAACTGGCCATGTAGCTATGGCAAAATATCAAAGAAAGATTCTGTTTGCTTGGTTTTGCTTTATTGATCACTACATATGCCTGGTTGGTGTGAAATGTGAAAGAGATCTTTTCTGATGCTACAGAATAGAGGAAAGCCCAGGTTTCAATTAGGGCCAGCCAACAGCTTTCCGTAACCTGCTTACATACAGCTGGCATGAACGTGGCTGCCAGCTCATGGGGATCCTACAGGTAAAAGGATGGGTGACAGAACTGACAAGAAGGGGACAATGATTAACAAAGGCAGCTTGAAAAATAAAATAATAAGGAATTGATAAATAATAATTTTGTTTCTACAAGACTGGAAAGACCAGTAGCGAAGTTTGTGTTGAGTCTCAGTTTACTGCAGTTAAACACGAGGCAGGTTAATTAAAAAAAAAGATTCATTCCAAAGATTTTGTTAGGTAAAAGATGCATGGAGAATTTCTTTCTTTTTTTTTAGTGGGAATTTTTTTTTTTTTTTTTTTTTGTAGCCTTGGTACCAGCATGTGCAGTGTGTGTGCACGATGGGAGAACATGTTAGTTTCTAACACAAAAACTAATGTGAAGATCTTGGAGCTCTTCCCTGTACTCAGAGGTTTCTGAGGGGTAAATGTGAACTCAGTTTTATGAGGGTCAGAGGCAACTGTGGGCTCTAAACGAAGAAGGAAAAAATAACTGCAAGATTTATTTACAATTCTCCCTAAGCATAATGAAATGAAACACCATTTTTCTGAATTCCAGCCTGACTGGAATCACAGTGACGATGGTGTTCCCCTAGTCCTTACTGGAAAAGTTACTCAGGCTGATCCAAAGCACTCTTTGACTTACTGTCGTGACCGTGTGAGCAACTGATACAGCTAGTTCTGAGTACAGCCTTAACATGGAAGATAAAAGTTAGCTCTTTTTTTTGTTGTTTGTTTGTTTTTGAAGATTAGTATTAATGCTTTGGTTTTCAAGGGAAAGTGTAACCAGGATCATGTTAACAAATGTAGGCCACTGATGTGAGAAAATGAAGAGATTGAAAATTGTCTATCTTCTTATTACCCACCTTTTTCTAAATGCTCCAGCACTTGGTACTTGTGTTCAATTTAGTTCAAAACTTTCTTGAAATGTCAGTTGTTAGAAGTGTGGAATAAAACTTCCCATCTAAACATCAAGGATTTTAAATAAAATGGATGAATGTAAATGTCTGAGTATCAGTAGAAGAATGATCCTTTCCCTTCTTTAATCAAATGTATTGTATTAATGTGTGCATAATGCAAAATCAATAAATAATGAATTACCACTGATTGTAATTGAATGTTTTCATAATTTTATTGTCAGCCATGATAAATAATCAGTACATTTATACTGCATTAAATTAATTAGTGTGTCATTTCTATTACATACATCAGCAGTGAAGTAATGCAGTGACATCTGTTTCTAATGTTTAAAAGATGTGATATTCCTTATTAAGTAAAAGGAAGAGTTATTAGAGGTATTTCCTGTGATTGGCAGTTATACTGGTAGACTGAAAGAGACTGAATAAAGGAACTGGCACTTCTGGCAAATGCTGCATTTCAGCCTTCTAATGGTAGACAGTAACAATGAGTGGGGTGAATTTTCTTTATTCAGGCTCTTAAAAAATCCTGCCCATCTTGTTACAGGAAGTAAGAGTGGGTTTTCTCTCCCTAATACAGACAGAGAAGATTCTAACGTCCAGTAATTAACACTTTACAGAATAATCACACATCTGTATTCATTTCTGTATCTGTTTTTCTGCCTCAGTCTTCTGTGTTTGGCAGTGACGTTCTTATTTTGCCTTTTGGGTCTGCATCTTTGCTTGGAAACTATACTAATTTGGCCTATCTTGGCACTTTGCTACTCACACTGATGTATACTACCTGCAAAGGAAAGAGAAGACTGGATGGATGTTGCAAATACGAGAATTGAAAAATGAAAGACTGGAATATGAGAAGTAAGAGTAAATGGAAAGGTACATGTGGAAGATAGATATGAATCACACTGTGTCAGGTGTGAATCAGAAAAACTATCCTCAGTTGGTTAATCATCTGGAAGCAGGGTGATGTGAAGTAAAATACACTGAGAAACAACTATAGACTACAACGTAAGTCTGGGATTCTTAATTAACTCTGTCTTTTCCAAAACACCTTGTGGACATTCTCAAGTATCTGTACCACTGCATCATCTTTGAAGAGAACAGTTAGAAAACCTAATGTTAAGGCTTGTCTTGCCCTTTGTTCTTCATCCATAAAACCACTTCCAATTTTTCATACTATTAATTTACATAATAATATTTAAGGGTAATTAAAACAATTCAAATTTATTTTTTTCAGTGCAAGTCTCACCGACTGCTTTCAGCTGGAGCATGTAATCAGAAATCACTGACCACCTTTTGATCTTACCTAGTAGGACCTTTTACACGGCTGGGAGTCTAGAGCAACTGTGTGCATACAGCAGTTTGTCCAAGAGTTGCTGTGTATACAGTAAGCTGTAGTCTTGCTATGGTCTGCTTTCTGGGCATGACTGACGTCAGGCTAGCTCACAGTGTTGATACATTCAGTACTCGGAATGCTCTAACACAGTATTCCAGCAGTGTGTGAGCCTGTAGGCTTGCTCAGATTGTCTGCTCTGGAGACAGTCCTCATTAGATGCAGTTTTCGAGGCAACTGCTCCAGATCACAGAGTCTGCACTGAACTCAGCAGTTCAGGCTATACTTGACACATGAAGGATTTGACCGTTT